ATATGCAAGGGGTGCGGAAAGTAACTGCGGAGCGAAGCGAAGCTCCCACATCCGAGTGTCTAAGGTGTGCCGCGACGGAGCAAAGCCATCATTCAAGTCACGATCCTGGACAGCAATCGCTGCGAACAGACTCTGATGACATGTGAATCTTCTCATCGCATGGCATCGCATTGCATTGCAGTCGAAACGTAAGGTTGAAATAAGGTCGCACTTTCTTTTGTTGTTTAGGTTAGCGGGTCTTCTCAGCAGCAGAAACTAGGGTTGAATACGCAAGCGAGCTCGTGATGTCTCGACGCATCACTTAGCGAGATCGAGCAAGAGGTCGGCAAAGATCTCCGCGATGCGCTGGGGCATCCGTCGGACGAAGAAGCATGGACACGAGGTTGAGATAAGGCGTTAACTTGGTCGAGCATGATACTTCTGGATCTCTTTCATCAAACGATACGTCGGACGCTATCTTGATTCTGACTTCGGGGTTGGGTTGTCAGCGCCTAGTGGATAGATAGACAAGGGTGTGTGCAGGCGGGCGTGCAGCGAAGACAATTTTAGCTGCTCGCGTCGGCTGCCAGTCACCTCTGTTCTCACACACAGAATCCAAATTCTCGGCACGGCCGTGCGTCTGCATGATGCTTTGTACGGGAGAACGCATGTCAACATCGGGGCCGTTGCCGCCGTCCTTATCCCCGATCAACCATATTGTGGTATCATCTGGTGTGTCTCGCACGCACCATCTGCTCCGCAAATTCAAACCATTTTCACAAAAAGCATTCCTTTCGAGCCTGATACTGATCACCACAACCACCATCGTCAAGAGTCTACGGGTTTGGCCTCCTAACTTGCGCACAATGGTCACGTTAGAGACGGAGCAACTACCACCTCGAGCGAACGTTATCAAGCTCAGCCAGCGTGATCTTTTGGACTACCGGGCAGTTCAAAGAACCTTTGATGGCGCCTATGCAAGAACAGCGCTTGGCCAGCTATGTTATGCTACCGTGATTTTACGTCTATTTCAGCCAAAATTCTTCTACGTGGGTGAGTACGACGTTCATGCCGAGGCATCGTAGCTGCCATTTAGATATTGCCGTGGCGAGCGTCTCTTGCTGCAGAAGACTGAGGAGCCTTTTTCACCGACCTCTATCCATTGCACTCATGCCATGAAGGTCTGGTCTATGCGATCCTAGGCATGGGATTCATACCGGTAGCCGTATTCCGCTATCGTATGGCAGTCAATAATGCGAACCGGTTCGTGGCAATGGAGGTATTTGAGCCTCATCAAGAATCCTCCTCAACGCAAGATGCGGCACATATCACTTCGGCCGCGCAGTCTACGGTTCAGGCGCTATCAAAGTCGCAGTACGACCCTCAGCAGAATGGCACGGCAGCGCGCCAAGGACCACCGGCGCCTGTGCGCACAGTGCTGCGCGAAAGTTTCGTTACGGCCGGCTCAGTGGTGGCCGCGGCAACTGCATTCGTTGGTCTGGTCGAGGTTGCGCTGCTCGTGCTCATCCTGCGAGTCTGAGCAGGCAGGTCCCGCCTTACGATGGCAGCTATTTCGCCCGCGTCGAGCGGAAGCAAATCCGCTGGTACAGTATTGGTCTTCTCAAATTCTATACCCAATTACCTCATCGACCATGGCTCGACGCCGCAGGCTATTCCTCCTAATCACCTCTCGCAGCTAGGCTCATTCTAGCGTGTTCAAACCAGCTGAGGCTTCCTACTTTTATTTCATCTTGTCTTCGTCGTGCTACTTTACATTTCCGGGGCGGTTCTTCAAGCATGAAGCTTCTTGATAGTGAAGTCCCATAGCGCCTCCAAGTTCTCTTCAGGCTCCAGTTGATCCCACAGATGATCCCTGCCTGGGACCTCGTCGTAGAACACCGATGTTCCAACTTCTTTGAGTGCCTTCTCGAGCCTCCTTGCGTGATCCACGTCGACTGCTGTGTCCTTCTCACCGTGCACGATATAGATTGGAGGGAAAGCTTTCCTCTGATCTTCCGAGCTGCTTCGGAGGAAAGTCACAACATCCGTCTTCTGTAACCAACCTTCATCCCTCTGCTGCCGAGAAAAGAGCAGCGAAGGGAACAACGCGTCTTGCTGAGCATGCATGTAAAATTTTCTCCTGTGCTCCACGTTGGCCGTGTTTGCCGTCACGTCTGCATTGGGATCTCTAAACTCGGCGAACGAATCTGGGTCGTCTTTTAGCATTCCGCCGAATGGAATCTGTTTCTCGAGGAAGAACTTGTGATTCATAGTAGTGATAGGGTAGATTGCAGCAATGCCCTTTACTCTCTTCTCCAGATCTTCTCCTGAGAGTCCTTCGCACATTCCGAGTCCTACCATCAAGCATTGCCAGCCTCCAGCGCTACTGCCACTCAGAACGATGTTGTTGGTATCAAGTTTTGCTTTCTCGCCCTTCTCTGCGACCGCAGAAGGAAGCTTGTGGATGACGTAGTTGAAGCAGTCCACCATGTCCCGTTGGATGTCGGGAACTCGAACCTGAGGGGCAAGGCGGTAGTCGGTAGAAACGACGGCAATGTTGTACTTGTCGACGGCACGTTTGAGGTGTGGGGCCATGGCCTGACGGGAGCCCTGAATGAGTCCTCCTCCATGCCACCAGATGAAGATGGGAAGGGGTGAAGAGGAAGGAGAATCGGGCAGACAAAGGTCGAGGAGAATTGGCACTTGGCGTTTTGCGAATTCGAAAGTGAGCGTGCGCATATTGAGATGCTTGTCGCGATGTCTCCCACAAAGAGTATGGTGCAGAAGTCGTTGTGATGAAGGTGGAAATTTGGACAGAATGAGGCGAAGTGGTGCGGCTATACAGACGCTTCTTCGATAACGAAACGGAAGCATTTTATGTGCCGGAACTCGGCCGTGCCGCGGTTGGCCCGTGCTTCGTTGCATGAGAACAGGCACACATGCAGCTACATGTCGGAATTGTCCGAAGAATGTTAGACCCTTATCATGAGGCGGATGCCAAGAGGACCAGACGGCTCGTGCACTCCCACGCTGTACCGCCACGCCTGCAGAGCTGCCCGATTGTTGATCTCCAGATGCTTAACGTGAGAAGATTGATGGACCGATCCAACCTCCTGACCTCGAAGTGTTGATCTAAACCACTTCCCACACCAACACGACATCGCCTCCCATATAGCATTTATTTCAGCTTGCGAATCCTCTTGCTGCGGCATTCCCCGGCTCGCTTAGCAGTCATGCCTTCTATCCATTCCTCATCTTCCGGGCTTGTCGGCTCCCTATTCGAGCGCGCCCAAGATGCCATCTTTGCGATAACCTCTTGCCTCCCTTGCACGCCCGAGACCTCCGTCCTCAAGCTCAATGGGCGCAATTTCCAAATCGTCAAGCTCCTCGGCGAAGGCGGCTTCTCCTTTGTCTATCTTGTCAAAGATCAAGAATCTGGCCGGCTGTTTGCTTTGAAAAAGATTCGGTGTTCGTCCTACGGAGCCGATTCTTTCCAGGAAGCAATGAAGGAGATCGAAGCGACGAAACGATTCCGATCCCCTCACATCATTCCGATCTATGACAGCTGCGTGGTGCAGGATGATGCAGGCAGTGGGACATTGTTTGGTAATCTGCCTTCCGGTGACCCAGACGGAGGAGGTGGGAGAGGTGGCGATGGTGGTAAAGTGATCTATCTATTTTTGCCGTTTTATGAGAAAGGCAACTTGCAAGATGCGATCAATGCACACGTAGTCAGAGGCACGAGGTTTGGCGAAAGGGAGATGCTAAATCTATTCTTGGGGATCTGCAAAGCTGTTAAGGAGATGCACGAATACCGCTTGCCCAACGTTGCGGCCACGAGGAGTACTTCGAATGCTCCTCGCATGGAAGTAACGCCTCCTCAGGACCCTTTCTCTGACTCGCAGGCCGAATCACCCCTCCTTTCTGATTCCAACGACGCGGAAGGAGAGGGAGACAACTCTTCGTATCCACCAAAGCCAAGTAACAAGGGCAAAGGTCGAGATTTCGGCCACTCCGTTCAGCAACCCGCGCTCGACGGAGGAATGGAGCAAGGAACTGTTGGTGAACTCTTACCATATGCTCACCGCGACATCAAGCCAGGCAACGTCATGGTTGCTGACGATTCTACGACTCCGATCTTAATGGATTTCGGAAGTACCATTAAGGCCCGAATCCACATCAAAAGTCGAAGGCAAGCGGTTGCACATCAGGATCTGGCCGCAGAACGCTCTTCCATGCCGTATCGTGCGCCAGAGCTGTTTGACGTGCCTACCGACGTAACGTTGACTGAGGCAGTAGATATCTGGTCGTTAGGTTGCCTGCTGTATGCGCTGGCTTACTTACATTCGCCATTTGAGACGAGCCAAACGATCGAGCAGGGTGGAAGCATTGCTCTGGCCGTGTTGAATGGAGCATTCAAATTTCCGGAAAGCGGACAGGATCCGTATTCGGAGAAGACTAGGGAGGTCATTCGGCGATGCATTGTGGTCAGAGCCGGGGAGAGGCCGCCGATTGGGGAAGTCATTGAACTTACACAAGCTGCACTGCGTGGGCTCGATTAAATATGTCAGGGGGTTGTTCACGATCCTTTTCTGCGATACGATAGAAAGCTTCTCACAGAGTACAGGATCACTACTATGACTATCCTCCGCAGACAATAGAATGCAATGCGGTGTCGCATCACCCAGCCATCTGTTTTCTTGCGACCGTTTCACAGCGTGTTCCAAACGTGAGGCCAGAATGTTGGAGCACAAATAACTCACCCTTCGTGAGACGACAGGCAGATACTCGTAGCTCCCGCTCAGTGAGAGGAGCTTTATTGTACGCAACTTGTGCTTTTCGTATAAACGTTACCGAATGCAATCGTGGCAGTGGAAGCATGACAAGACCTTCGAGAACTCGGCCAAAGTATTAAATACGTAGAAAATGAGGAGCACATATTGACCAAAGGAAGACAAATATCGATGGTTGGTGACATAGGTAAAATATATCTATCACATGTAATATCGAATATGCAACAAGGCGCTCTGCCCGAGTGGTTAAGGGGTAAGTCTCGAATTTTAATTCGTTCATCTCGAGAAGATGAGTAAACTTATAGGCTCTGCCTGCGTCGGTTCAAATCCGACGGGCGTCGACAGGATTTTTTTTGCGGTTTTTCTGTTCATTTGATCAGGAACATTGTGTTGCTCCTTCTTGTGAAGAGAGAAGGATGATTGGACATCTTTTGCGAGGATATTTGTTGAGCTGCTATGTTCTAGACAGGATTGGAGGACGTGGAATGGCAGTGGAAATGTTATAATGAACATTTCCTTTTTTTCACCTGGAAAATAAAAGTTAGGAAAAAGGGGGATTATCATTGGGTTAGAAAGGGCTTTAGAACTGGGACCCTTCAATTGACCCAGCTCTGAATCTCTCGAAGGCCTCATCACTCCCCTGCAAAGAGCTGCATCAGCACCATGTTCCACTCAGGCCATGGAGTCCTGTTGCTACCACATATCTTTGACTGCAGTTTGCAAGCAGTACAGGAGACCTATTCATCTCAATCAGATGCTCCCCATTCCAACAAGTACAAACACAGACCCATGTGAGAATAAATCAATCTGCAAGTGCATGTTCCTGACAAGCATAACAGAGGTGACTTGATTTATCTGGCAAAAGCCTTAACTCACTGAAACCACATTCTACATTCTACCACAAGATGACAAGACCTTAACACTGTACTGTACTGTGTGTGACAAGATTTGGGTGATTGGTCATTGTAGCCTGCTTTTTCTGTGGATTTGGTTCTGGACCAAGAACAAGATATTACTACTCATAGAGAAGATGACTCTTGGCTGTTGTAAATTACTGTACTGTATGTATACTCTACAGCACCAAAGCGTGGCTTAATCAAAATCAACTTACTTTTTTTTTTTTTCTTCATGCAAATTATTGAAAATCAATAACAAGCTGACGGTCAGAACAGAATTTTCTGCGTGGTCAAAATTCTCTCCGTACCTCCGGCTCAGAATGAAACACTGCCGGTCGGGTAGATCGTTTCATGTTGCCGGAGATACTTGCCCGCCTTCCCTTGATAAGCCAACTTTACTTGAAGTTTGACTTTTCGTTGTTGCGAAAGGCTGAGCGAATTGAGTGGCTGAGTGCAGTGTTTACGTTGGTTTAGCTCCGTTAGAGCTGCTTGTCCCCTCACCTTGAGCCATCACTCAACGAATAAGCGAGTCTCTCCACACTCGGCATAAACAGTCAGGTGAATAGGGAGAGATGACACAAAATCGATTCGACCTCACGTGGACTTGCCGTGTCGCATGGCGATGACCAGACCTCTGACACACCTACACACACCCATCCTTCACCAATTCACTGCTTGCTTCTTTCCTCGCATACCATGGGCGCCCTTGGAGATTTCGAGGCTTGAAGGCTTGGCACGGCGCATCGTCCATGCCGTACTGTGTCGACCTTGCTCCGTGCAACCTCTAATTCATCCCTTGACGCCTCATCTAATCATCTACAGATAGTCATACAGATAACTGATCTGATTGATCGTACAGAACATTATTACGTATCTTTCAGCTTGAAAAGGTGATGTAAGGGGCATGTGCAAGAAGAGTAGAGAACTTTGACAAGACAAGTTAAGGGGTGTTAGGTGAGACCAAAAAGGAATGTGAGCGAATGGTTTCGGCAAACCTTGTGTCTAGGTAAGATTTGATACAAAGTGCAGCCCGAAGAACAATAGTAACCAAAGAAACCGGTGTTCTTACATCCCCATGTCCTCTCTGCCTCCTCAAGCCACAACGCTTTGGCTTTACCGCGTTGTATCACATGCAGTCAACCGTCCTGTGGTCAAATTCGTTTGCGTATCAAGGTCGGGACCGAAATAACAATCTTAAACATACTTAGAACTAAACAGATACGCTGCCTTCCTGCAACACAGGAATAGAGGGGTTGCTCAACGTAAAAGCGACAACGTGACCCCAACATCAACAACAAGAAGGGACACAAAGATGCCTTCGGAATAAGCAACCCTAATCAAGAATTCGATTCTAGACACGCGAGCACAAGGTAGGCCGAAAGGATCGAGAAGCAAAGTTGCGCGCAAGTGGTACAGTAAGTCTGTTTGCGGGTGTACAACCGGTGGCACGCTTTCCGCCGAATACTTTTTTTTTTTTTTTTTTTTTTTTTCCCTCGCCGACCGACCCCACGGTTTGCAACACCTGCAAACTTGATCCCCTTTTGTGTGTGTGTCTTCAAATGTCAGTCATCTGAATTCGCTCATCCTCTCGTGTTCTTTAATTTAATACTTTGCATTCGCAATTGTCTCCTCCTGTCCTGCTTTGCCCTTACTGAGTGCGGGGTCGTATGCAACCCCGACGCTTTTGAGACAGAGTGAGCGTTTGTAGGGCCGAGCCATGTTCTAGTCACTCTCTCGAAGTGTACCATTCAGGCACAGATTGGCTTTTCCTCTACGGCGATCTCGCGGCCTATCCTGTTCCGCCATCTCCATCGCCACATGACCAGAGCATTGCTAGACTTGATTCGACGTTCGCTGATGACCATGACATCTGCTAAGTCGTTTTTTCTGCATGCATCCGCGCCAAGACCGTCTCGCAGACGCAGGGCGCCACGAAAAAAACGATGCACCAAGTACCCCGCACAATTCACAATCCAAAAAGATCATAGTGCGGGGCCCAATCGCACTCCCAACCTGCCACCCGTTCTGTATTACCCCACGCCTAATCGCAGATGTGGTTTTGCCACCAGATTTCAACTTGCGACTGCATCAAGACGAGATGTTCCTGCGCTTACCCCTTACCACGAGAGCAATTTCTCTGCTTTGAGTGTTGATGTAAGCTCCCACACAGCATCAGATGTTAATCGAGCAGGCTCTCGCTCTCGGCTGCATCGCATGGCTTGGGGCTTGCCGCTCCAGCGCTTCATCACTTAAATTTGTTCTTCGCGTCAATGAAGGGGGGAAGAACAGCGCAATGCTCGTAGTCTACGCCGCTCTGCAACACAAACCTTAGCACTTTCCTGCAAAACTGCACATACCCTGGCCCACTTTTGACCCTGCTTGTGGTGTTGCTCCCAAAAGCTTGCTAAGCCCCGAGTGACCTGCCTTTTCGGATTGACGCAGACATATAAGGTGAACACCCACCTCACAACTCTTGAATACGACGCAGCACGCTCAGCTTGGATCCTCCCTCCACTGTCTCCCTCATACTTCTATATTCCCTCTTCCTCTTCTGAGCTTGAAGCAGATACTGTGTACTGCATCAAGTCTCCAGCACATCTATTTTTCCTCCTCCCTCATCACCAAGACGCCTCACTGTGAGCCTTCGTCCTCACCTATTACCATGTCCACCACCAGCCCCAACTACATCCCTGCTGAGCAGCTCAACACCGACGTCTCGGACAAGGATGTCGGCAGTGCGTCGTCTCACCACTTCCAACGAGCCCATCGCAAGAACGGCGAGCTCGAACTCGGTGTAACAGAAATCCTCGAGGGGCGTACTGACGTGCAGCGCCATGTTGCCCCGTCCTCTGGTCTCGCCAACTGGTCTGGTCGCGTTCGATTCGAACAATCCCTTCCTCCTCTCATTCCTGCTCTGGTCGCCGAATTCTTTGGAACCATGTTTTACTGTCTCGCAGGAGAAATGGCCACAGCCGGCTACCTCATCACCACCTATGGAGGATCTCCTCAGGGAAACCTTACCATGATTGGTTTCGCCTATGCTTTCGGTATCACTTTCGCCATCGTCGTCTGCGCCACTACTTCGGGTGGTCAGTTCCATCCCGCCTTCACCATTGCTCAAGTCGTTTTCAAAGGTTTCCCCATCAAACTTGCTCCCTTGTACATCTGCGCTCAGATCGTCGGTGCCATGGTCGCCTCGCTTATTGTCGTGGGATCTTGGCATGATGAGTTGATGAAGATCACCCACTTGCTCAGAGCCACTGGTAAGAGTGATGTCATATTCTCCGCCGAAGGCCCTGCAGGTGCCATTGCTCTGTTCCCTACGGCTGGAAGGTCGTTGGGATCGATCTTTGTCAACGAATTCTTTGCCGATATCTTGGTGGCCATGATTGTTTGGGCCAACTTGGACGCTGCTAACCCGTTCACTGGTCCTCAGGTTGCTCCTTACACCATTGGTCTCGGTTTTGCCGTTGTGGTTTGGTGTTTCTCCTCGTCCAACGTCGCTGCCAACTCGGCTAGAGACCTTGGTGCTCGCTTCGTTTGTGGTATGTTCTGGGGTACCGAGTGCTTCCCCAGCGGTTATTCTGCTTTGGCCGCTTTGACAAACATCCCAGCTACTCTCATCGGATGCGGTATCTACACCTTCTTCCTCAGCGACACCAGGAGACCCGCCGCCGCTGTCACGCTCAACCACTTGCACGAGGAACATGTAAAGAGCATCGAACGTGCAGAAACCCTCCATGCAGAGCTGCTCGATCAGAAGATCGCCCAAACCATCAGTAAGGGCGGAGACGCTTCCGCCTTGCAGAAGAAGAGGACCAACCTCAGCGTAAAGAACTTCTAAACGCTTTTTACTTTCCCTCTTCACCTGCATATTATGGTCAAACGCTCAAAACCTGATTGCATCCGTAACAAGGGGATTGAGAAGCGAGCTGAATAGGATAGCCATGTTCGTCGTTTCTTCACGTCGTCACTATTAGGGACAAATACGTCATGGGAAATGGTATCGCGTGTCTATATCATGCATCGTGCTTGGTGTTTGTGTAACTCTCCGTGGCTGGATGCGACTGTGTACGAAAGGCTGTGTTGACGTTGAAAATCAATGCTGTAACTGATTCGCCTCGTGAAAGACTCTTTCACCACTCGACTTGATCCTTTGCAGCCTGGCTAACAAGTCGTAACACCGCCTCCTCCTCATCCAAAAGCTGCTTGACGAAGGCCAAGCTTAAAGCGCACCCGTTTCCGTTTGACTGTGCAACATTACCTTCCTCCGTTGAAGCAAGGATCTCTTCAGCATCAACCAAATACCTCCTTGCCTTTTGTGCATCTTTTAGCCGAGTCTCACACAGATCAACCAGAATCCTATGCGCCACTTCCTCATTTCTTTCCCCTACATTGTCCCTGTACCCAACGAGCGTCTCTTCCCATCTGTCCAAATCCGTGAT